ATCATCATCAGCATCAGCATCATCATCATCATCATCATCATCATCATCATCATCATCATCATCATCATCATCACATCGACATGATCGTTCGCATCGCCATCGTCACCATGACCATCAGGATCAGCAGTGGAGGTGGTCTTGATGATCAGCGTTGTCAGTGAGAGGAGAACCCAGGGGGAGAGCCGAGAGGAAGGGCGGGGGGAGAGGGCCAGGGGCAGGAGGGGGCCACGAGGAGCGCGGAGGGAAGGGCCGAGGGGGGATCCGAGGGCCGAGGCGGGGGGGCCTACTGGGGGGGGGGGGGGGGGCGCGGGGAGCCCCGAGGGGGGGGCGACGGCGAGGGGAGGCGCGCAAAAGGGGGGGGGAGGATGGGAAGGCTTCTCAAAGGAGAAGCCTTCCCGCCTACCCCCTACCCCCTCCCGCGCGTGGCCGACGGAGGGCCGAGTGGGAGGCGAAGGAGCGGGCCGAGGGCGAGGATCGGAGGAAGAGAAAGCTGCACGAACACAAACTATTTACCAGCCTGGAACATATCCCTATCCCTATGTTGGGCATCGCCTCATCACGATGGTGATCTTAGGGATTTCCTCGGTTTCTGAGGGCGAATCCCTAAGATTGTCATCGCCTTTTGGCGTGTCAATCTTAGGGATAGGGATACGTTCGAGGCTGGTAAACTATCGAGGCTCCGCGCGGCTTCCTTGGATCTGAGCTCGACCCCCCTCCCGGGAGCGCGCCAGGGGGCGACGCCGGAAGCACCGCCGGGGGGCCCAGGCGCCGATCCAAGAAAGCCGCGCGGAGCTCCAACAGGTCATGGCAGGGCTGAACCTCAACGGCGTTTGTCGTTTTCGTTTCGTTTTCGTTTTCCTTCGTTTTGTCTTCAACCCGCCTGTAACGCAAAACGAGATCGAGACGAAAACGGCCCACGAGACAAAAACGGCCCACGAGATGGCTATGCCGATGTGCTTCTGCTTCGAAAGACCCGAGTGGGGGGGCCAAAGGGAGGGGGGGGGCCTCCGAGGGGGGGAGCGGCGCGGCAGGCCGCGGGCCGGCCGCGCGGCGCAGCGGCGGAGCAGGCGCCTTCCTCTCCCGGGCGCGCCGGCGCTTCTCGCCCGGGGCGCAGAGGTGGCAGAACCTGGCGAGGCGAGGAAAGGGGCCGCATGTGAACCCTACCCCTACCCCCCACGATTTCTGAGGGGGAGGGTGGGGTTCACTTGTTTCGGCTACTACTACTACCACTACTACCACTACGACTACTTTACTTACACCACTACTACTACTATATACTAATACTACTACTATACTTACTACTACTACTACTACTACTACTACTACTACTACTACTACTACTACTACGACGACGACGACGACGACGGACGACGAAACGACTACGACGACGACGACTATTACTACTACCTACTACAACTATACCATACTATTACCACTACTACCACTACTTACTACTTATACTACTACTACTACTTTACTACTACTTATACGTCCGACGACGACGACGACGACGACGACGACGACGACGACGACGACGACGACGACGACGACGACGACGACGACGACGACGACGACGACGACGAGGACGACGACGACGACGACGACGACGACGACGACGACGACTACTACTACTACTACTACTACTACTACTACTACTACTACTACTACTACTACGATTACTACTAATACTGCTACGACCGCTACTACTTGCCGTGCTGGACCCCTGCGAGGAGGCCAGCACCAGCTGACAATCCAGGGCTGCTCCCGCCCATCCCGGGCGCTGGCCCCGCCCCCGGGGCGAGCACGGCATGCCACCGTCTTGAGAGCACGTGCCGAGCTCCTGCAGCCACTGTTTCCCACCCATTCGGTCCTCGGAAGGTCGCACGCCCAGTCTGTGAGAGCACGTGACGCGACTTCTCCGTGCCGCCTCCCGAGGTTCGCGGCGAACCAGAGCAACGCAAGATGAGGAGAGGGCAGAGGCGGGGGGAAGTCTGCGGAGCGGCGGTGGGGATAGCAGCAGCAGGAGGCAGGAGGCAGAAGGACGACGACGGCGCAGGCGACGGTGGCGGCGGCGGCGGCGACGGCGGCGGCCGCGGCTGCGGCGAGGAGAACGACGGACGACGAGGACTGGATGGCCAGGGGCAACAAACACAGCGGCCGGAAGCGTGCCCGCGCAGCCTGCAGGAGGGGCCGCCTTCACAGCCAGCTGGCCGCCAGGCGAACGCGCAGGGCCGGCACTCGCCTGGGGGAGAAGAGGGGCTGAGCTTCGACTGGACGTGGGCATTGCGAATGCAGGCCTCCGAGTGGCCAGCAGGACTGCCCAGTGGGGCAACTCTGAGAGCGAAACTTCTATAGGAGGTTCCTTTCAGAGCGGCGGGAAAATAGTCCTGACCGGGGAGTCCTCGCTAGCTTGGGCACCCCCAATGGTGATGGGTTGGAAGAGGGCGGTAGGAGGGTGGAGAAACTTGTTTTCGGGCGGCCAACTCTACCGAACATATGGCCGGGCCCGACCCACACATGCGCCGTCCGGGTTCTTCAATACGGAGTCCCGTCCCTGGAAGTCCCGACCCTTTCCCAGGGGCCGTTTTCTCATCGCGATTCGCTGTTTGACAATCCTGAGGCATGGCGAATGTCCGCACGGGCCGAAGACGACACAAACCGACCGTCGTGAGCATGTCCGGGGCACCACCGAGGGACACCGAGGGGACGGCTTCACGGCTTCCCAGCGGATGAAGACAGAACACCGCAGCGCTCGGTCGGCCGTGCCGCACGCAGGCGATCCGCCGACAGGGGAAGGGAGGGAGAAGGACGCCGCACCAGCCAACTCCCCGCCAGCATGTGTTCCTGCATGTTGCTGGATATGCGTTCTGTGGCAACTGCGGCGTTTTCTCCAGCGGCCGGGGTAAGAAGCTCTGCTTGTGCTGCGACGGCGAGCCTGCGAGCCCGCAGGTCAAGTCTCAGCGTGGGAGGAGGAGCCTCCTCGCGCGACAGGGCGGCGCCCGGGCGCGCTGGGGGGGAGCGACTCGCGCGCCTGGCAGCTTCCCTGGCGCGGGCTGGCGGCGCTCCGTCGCGAGGGAGACGCTTCGCGCGTCGCGTCGGCGGCGACCTCTAGGAGACGACATGCGAGCCCTACCCCATACCCCGCCACGATTTCTGAGGGGGAGGGTGGGGTTCGCTTCGCTCGGGAGCTCTCGAGCGAAGAGAACCCCAGCCTCCCCCTCAGAAATCGTGGCGGGGTATGGGGTAGGGCTCGCATGTGGCCCCCTGGATCTCGGGATGCTGTCTCGGCGCCGTGGTCTCCGCCCGCGCACGGGATGGCGCCTCGCTGCGCGACACTGGAGACGCGCGCGCGGGGATCTCCCCGGTGAAGCGCCGCGGATGTGTGCGCACCGCTGCCCGACCACCGCGTAGGGGGAGGAGGAGGAGGAGGAGGAGGAGGAGGAGGAGGAGGAGGAGGAGGAGGAGGAGGAGGAGGAGGAGGAGGAGGAGGAGGGGGGCCTGCATGAGCAGAATATGGAAGCGTTTTGACGGAATCGCTCGAGGCGCCTGGGATCCTTCGGGCGCTCACAAAGCAGCAGGCTCCCCTGTGGCTTCGAATGCTTCCAAGTGGTGCCACGTGGCTCCCTTTTGACAGCGTCGCATCTGCGGGCATTCCGCTGCACGGCCACCACGCGGGGTGGTCGGGTGGCTCTGAAAAAAATCTCGATCGAGGGTGTCTTCTGGATCCGCCGGGCTGCGTCGGGATTCATCAGGACGCCCAGGGTCCCTCAAGATTGCTCCAGATCCCTCGGAATTCTTGAGGATGCATCGGGACTCCTCTGGACTCTGCAGAGTCCTTTGATACAACTCAGAACATCCCTGAGCTCCACTGGGCTCCTGTTGATTGATATGTTCCGGGATTCCGCGGGCTTCTTTTGGATTCCTCAGGAGTCATCAAGTTCTCTCGCAAGGTTCCATGCGGTTCCTCTGGCGGCATCGCAACGGCGACGCATCGCCTGTGACATCCTGGGGCCAACTGTTGCCTCGTGGGGGTCCTTGGGGGTCCTGGGGCTTCCTGGGCTTCCCTGTTGTTCACTGGAGTTTCCTGGGGCTCCCTTCCTGAAGTTCCCTGGGACCCTCTGGGCCTTCTGGGAGCCTCCAGTGGTTCCCTAGGCTCCCTGACGTCTCTTGGTGCTCACTGTGACTTCCTGTGGGTTCCTGAGGCTCCCTGGGGCTCCCTGGGGCTTCCCAGCGCCTCATGGGGTTCCTTGAGGTTCCCTGGGGGAGTCCTGGGGTTTCCGTGAGCTCTTCGAAGCTCCTTACGACTTCCTGGAGTTCTGAGACTGCATGGGATTCCCTCGGGTTTCCTGAAGGCTCCTGCGGTTCCCTCTGTTGTGGTTCCCTGGGAATTCCTGTGGCTTCCTGGCACCCTCCGTAGCCTAGAGCTTCCTGAGGCTCCCTGGGGTTTCCAGGGGTCTCCCAGAGCTCTTGAATCTCCCTATGGCTTCCCGAAGATTTCTCAGACTCCCCGGGCTTTCCTGGGGCGTCCTGGGGTCCCTTGGGGATCCTGCGATTCCCTGTGGCTCCCTGGAGTTTCCTGGGCGCTCCTGGAATCTCTGGGGCCGCTTGGGGGTCTTTGGGGTTCCCTAGGGCTTCATGGGAGGCCCTGCCATCTCCTGAAACATCCGGCGGGCTCATGTAGCTCCTGGGAGCATGTCCTGTAACCTTCTGAGCATTCGTGGAAGCTCCTGTGGCTCCACTGGAGGATCCGCCGGCCCCCTTGCGGGGCCATCAGGCTGCGAGGATTAAGGTTGCTGCTCCCTGCACAAGTTCTTCTGCTTCCTATTGTAAATTGTTACTGTCCGCGCGAGGGGGGGGAGCCGAAAAGGGCCCTGGTAAGCGTCCCCCAGGAGTGTTCTCAGAATTTCTGGGGGGGCGTGGGACATGTAAACATACATAAGTTTCGTGCCCCCAAGCCATAATCCCTTGCAAATTACTTTGTACTCGCGCCCCCGAGGCCACGATCCCTTGTAATTTACACCACATTTGCATCTCCGAGGCCACGATCCCTTGTAAATTACTCCACATTCGCGCCCTCGAGGCCACGATCCCTAGTAATTTACACCACATTCGCGCCCCCGAAGCCACGATCCCAAGTCATTTACATAATTTTCGCACCCCCAAGGCCACGATCCCATGTAAATTACAACAAATTCACGCCCCTGACGCCACGATCCTTTGTAAATTACGCAGCGGGCGCGCCCCCGAGGCCACGAATCCGCCTTGCGGAGGCTGCCGAAAAGGCACTCCCCCTTTCCAAAGCAGAAACGGTAATTTTCTGTATTGGGATATGTGCTCCGCTGGTATTCTTTTGCCCCCCCCCGTTTCTGGAAAATTCAGCGGTGGGTTCCACATTCACCCCCCCAGGCCACGATCCCTCGTAAGTTACGCCACATTTGCGCCCCCGAGGCAACGATCCCGCGTGAATTACGCCACATTCGCGCCCCCGAGGCAACGATCCCTCGTAAATTACGCCGGTGTCGCGCCCCCCAGGCCACGGTCCCTCGCGTCCCCGAGGCCACGATTCCCTGCAAATTACACCAAATTCGCGCGCACCTCCCACGCTACGAATCCACCTCGCGGAAGCTGTCCAAAGGCGCCACTCCTTCTCCAGGGCACAAACATGATGGACCCACGAACCCGGAAAGGGATATAGACATGCGCAGCATGGTCACGTTTTCACGATACCCAACTGGGCGACACCTCACAAAACATCCCACGAGACACCCCGCGAAACATCCCACGAGACACCTCGCGAAACATTCCACGAGACACCTCGCGAAACGTTCCACGAGACACCCCGCGAAACATTCCACGAGACACCCCACGAAACATTCCACGAGACACCCCACGAAACATTCCACGAGACACCCCACGAAACATTCCACGGGGGTGCGACTGGGTGTGGTCGTGCTGGGGTGTGGTCTTGCTGGGGTGTGGTCGTGCTGGGGGGGTGGTCGTGCTGGGGGGTGGTCGTGCTGGGGCGTGGTCGTGCTGGGGCGTGGTCGTGCTGGGGCGTGGTCGTGCTGGGGTGTGGTCGTGCTGTGGTGAGGTCGTGCTGGGGTGGTCCGCACCCTGTGATTTAGCACCGCGAGCAACGACAGGCAACCACTCAACCAGGACAACCACGAGGAGACGCGTAACGCACGCAACGGTACGGGCGCCACTCATCAAACACACAGGGAGTCCGTGGCTGCATCGGTTGAGTGGTTGCCTGTCGCCGCCCCCTGGGCGGATCCCCCTCGTAGTCGTCGTCGTCGTCGTCGTCGTCGTCGTCGTCGTCGTCGTCGTCGTCGTCGTCGTCGTCGTCGTCGTGCTGGGAGGTGGTCGTGCTGGGGAGTGGTCGTGCTGGGGCGTGGTCGTGCTGGGGCGTGATCGTGCTGGGGCGTGGTCGTGCTGTGGTGTGGTCGTGCTGGGTGTGGTCGTGCTGGGGTGTGGTCTTGCTGGGGTGGGGCCGTGCTGGGGTGGGGTCGTGCTGGGGTGTGGTCGTGCTGGGGTGTGGTCGTGCTGGGGTGGGGTCGTGCTGGGGTGGGGTAGTGTTGGGGTGTGGTCGTGCTTGTCGTGCTGGGGTGTGGTCGTGCTGGGGTGTGGTCGTGCTGGGGTGGGGTCGTGCTGGGGTGTGGTCGTGCTGGGTCTTAGCACCCCTGTGACACCGAGCGCCTCGGGGGAGGGGAATGCGGGGCGCCCCTATAAACCCCGAAGACCGGCTGTGCAGAGCGCCAGCTGCAAGGACCCACGTGTTTTCACGCTTGTTCCGCTCTGGCGCGAAAAGGACCCACGTGTTTTCACGCTTGTCCCGCTCTGAGGCGAAAGGGACCCACGTGTTTTCACGCTTGTTCCGCTCTGGGGCGAACGGGACCCACGTGTTTTCACGCTTGTTCCGCTCTGGCGCGAAAGGGACCCACGTGTTTTCACGCTTGTTCCGCTCAGGGGCGAAAGGGGCCCACGTGTTTTCACGCTTGCTCTGGCGCGAAAGGGACACACGTGTTTTCACGCTTGTTCCGCTCAGGGGCGAAAGGGACCCACGTGTTTTCACGCTTGTTCCGCTCTGAGGCGAAAGGGACCCACGTATTTTCACGCTTGTTCCGCTCAGGGGCGAAAGGGACCCACGTGTTTTCACGCTTGTTCCACTCTGGGGCGAAATGGGCCCACGTGTTTTCATTACGTAAAAACACACGGATTCGTCCCCCTGGAGAGGGCGAATCTATAGGCACATACGTAACAAAACAAGCGTTTCGCTCGAGACATCCTCGGCAAACTCTGCGGAGCAAGCGTTTCGCTCGAGACATCCTCAACGCACGAAAAAGTGGCCCGCACCCTGTGATTTATCGATCGGGATTTCAAAAACAAGCGTTTCGCCTGGACATCCTCAAATTTTAATCCGCCGGCCTCCTTCGACCTCGATATTTATCAGGGAAAGAATCCGCCGGCCTCCTTCAAGTTGGGCACGGGGGGATTGTT